TTATGTGTATGCATATGTATAGATATGTGTATGTCTGTACATACATGTCTACACCTATATACATATATATATCTGTTTGTATTCATAAACATATATCTTAATCAAAGTGAAAGAGACCATGAATTTGCAAGAGAATGAAGGGGGATTTGAGGAAGGGTTGGAGACAGGAGACATAGGAGACGTTGTAATTGTAAGGGAGAAATGGTCTCAGATTTTTAAAGTAAAGAAAGTGTCTAGTGAGGCAAATGCAAGAGCTAAGAAGAGACGGGCAAGCACTCACCCCCAGTGTCCTGGATGCCAGTAGCTGGGATGTGACTAATCGTAGGCGTGGTCGCTGCGCCTCATACAGGCATGAGCATCGTTACTGGGCTTTTCTCTTGGCTGTGGATGCAGCTCCTCTCCATCACATTGCTGCCCAGAGCCATGACTCAGCACTGGGCTCCATCTCCTCTGCTGTTACTGTGTCCCTTGATTGCCAGGGTATAGAGCAGGCGGTGGGTGCTGCTGTGGGAGTGTGGGCTTCCTGGTGCCCTTTTCTTTTAGGCTACCTTCTCGTTGCCTCTTGTGCTGGCAGCCGTCTGTCAGTCCCAAGAGTATCCCTTTTTTCCTATGTAGAGTCAAGGAGAAGTTGGCAAAATATTAGCAGCATTTAAAATAAGTTTTTGCCATTACCCTAGTAAATTTGGTCATTGCTTTAATTTCTATGAAATGTGTCTGTTAAACTGTCTTCTATTAATATGTTCTAGAATAGTGTTAAACTGTTAGATAATTTTAAAAAACTTTACATTTATTAATTTTATGATGTACTAGTGGCCGTAAGTTTGGCTACATGTTACTGAAGTTAAACAAATGGTTGTAACCAGTATCTTGGACATGACCCGCGGAGAACTGTTTCCAGTTTTAGTCTCACAGTGCCACCTGCTGGATATATTTTATAAAAATAACTTTATAGTTCCTGCACGTGTGTGCTTGCTTCTCTACTGTCTGGCTGATGATAAGCCCCACTCGGGCAGGCAGTGACTCAGAACCCAAGACTATCACAGCAGCCTGAAAGAATGAAAACTAGCTGATAATGAAAACAGGAATACTCAGAAGGTTTTACGTTCCCTTCCCCTTCTCAGTGCTCTGATTTTGCCTGTCTTGAACCTGTGCAGATTTTGGGTGTGCTGTCACACTCTCTGTGAGTTTCATACGTGCATCAGTCTTGTTGTATCTGAACAAAAAAAACATTACACCAACAACAGAGCTATTTCCTTGGGATTGTCTACCGCCTTTGGCTCTCGAAATCTTTCCACCTCCTCTTCTACATCGATCCCTGAGTCTTGAAGGAAGGGGTTGATGGAGATGCTACGTTCGGGTGGTGATAGCCGAGTGTTCCAAAGCCTCCTTACTCTTTTCACATTGTCCAGTTGTGCGTCTCTGGGTAACAACTCCGTCTATTGCTTGAAGAAGCTTCTCTGATCTGTGGGTATAGTGGTACGTTATTAGGAGTCATTTCATTGCTATGTACCTTTATAACAAACAGTAGGTTTTCCTCTGGACCCTCAGGTTCCTGGACACATCAGCAGTTTTGGGTATGGGTTCTACGCCATGGATTGGGCTTAAGGCCCAATCCAAAAGTGGTTAGTTACTTCCATAACATTTGTGCCACTATTGCAGCAGTGTGTCTTGTCAGGCGGTCGCTGTTGTAGGTCATAGGATTTGTCGCTGGGTAATATTAATGATTACTTTTCTCTGCAGATGGCATTCAGAGAGTACCATCTATGAACTCCAGTCAGGAGGAGTGAAAATTCCAGCAAGGCACCAGTTTGCTTTCTACATGTTTGATACTGGTTTCTTTAAGAACAGGATCTAACCATTAGGTTGTGGAGAGGAACACATAGACTTGGTAGTGGGCTGTGATGTTTGCATAGTCCATAGGACCCTGTTAGATAACTCTGAATGGTAATTTTACATAGACAGAAAGATACATCTTGTTTAATTAAAATCTTTTAATGAAAAGCAGTATCAGTATACCATCTGCCACACCCGTGATAATCGAAAAACAGAAGATTCACGTTCATCTTTGTGCCTGCCCTTTTCCAGTGTCTCTGTCACTTATGTGTTGCTAAACTCATACACCACGGCAACAGAGCTAAGAATGATCAGGAAAGAACAGGGAGCTGGAAGAGTGAGCAGAGGTGTATGAGAAGTTAAGGTGAAAGCACACTTAGAAGACATTGCTGGGCAGGTGTGTAAGAAAGCCTTTGGTGAGGAAAGTGAGCAGCTTAGCCGCTTCTGGAAAAAGAAGGAATTTCACTTAAATTATATATATTTCCATTAAAATTAAACATAGAGGAAAAGGCAGCTTAACTCTTTCTGAGCTTATGCATCAGATAAGTGGACACAGGGAGAGAGACTAAATCTTGATGGTTTTCAACACGGTCTGAGAGGTTAAACAAGACACTGCCATTTAAAACCCTTCCCCTGTCACCCCCAAATAAAACATAAACAGTTAAAAAGCTTTTAACATTCTTTACTGCCACCCTGGTTGTCTGAAGACCTTTCTTTCTTATCACCGTCCACTTTCCAAAGGAGCGAACACAGGGAAATGTGAGAATTCGTAATAGCCAAGATACAGTTCTGCCTTGACTGCAGTTGATTGCTAGACATCCATGCTTAGTTCTGTGAGTTTGCATCTGCCAGGACTGGATGCTTACGTGGGGGTTGGTGCTGGCTCCCAGACGTTTGAGGCAGGGTCTGCCTTTGAGCAAATTGTAATACTGAAAGGAAAGGCCAGTTACCTTCCCACTGGCTTGTCTGGCAAATAATTGTCACATTTGCATCTAAAGTATAGTCTTTGAAGACTTTGAAAACAAAAGGATTTAAAAAAAAAAAAAAGTAGAATCAGACCACAGTGAAGGCAAATTGCAGAATTCCTCCTTATTTAGCTTCAGAAAGCATCCTCTAGTCTGGTATCAGAGGTAGACAGCAGCACCCAGAAGAGGTACCCTGAACAGTGCCTTTTGCTGCCATCTTTTTTGTTTGGTATCTGCATCTTCCTGTTTACTCTGGTTCCTGAATCATCATCATCATCATCATCATCATCATCATCATCATCATCATCATCATCATCATCATCATTATTATTATTGCTACTAGCTAAAAAGAGCAAACTCTGGCCAGTTTATGTCTTTCAAACAAAAGCTTATATACAGACATAACTATGAACATCTATGTGTGGGTGTAGAGCAAATTCCTAGATGCTTTAAAATGCCTCTCAAATTTTAACAGCTAGTTCATAACCACATTATAGTCCCTTAGAAGGCATATCTTTCTCTCCTCCAGATCATTTTTATGAGAACATTTTGCAATAAGTAAGAAGTTTGCCTTCAGAATCCCAAGTATATTTTATACTATCCAGCTCTAACCCTTCCATTAAAGACAGTTTTGCATGTGCTAAGTGCTTTTTAGAGATATAAAGTTGTTCTGGATAGAAACAATAGTAGCTACCTTTCTCCAGCCATCTGTGCCAAGAGCATGTCTCTACATGCACATGTTAATCCTTGCCTCAACAACTCCCCCACCTCCCCTTGCCTCTTCCCCCACTCTTCTGAGAACTCACAGCTCATTTCTGAAAACTCCGAAGTGGGTCAGCTTTCACTTTGAACATCTGTCAAAGGCAAACATCAGGACTGGGTTTTCTAAGCCTTTAGGAGAAAATGGAATGTTTACATGTGGTTGGTGATGGTTCCCTCATGATCTTCACCCCCACCTGATGACCCTCACCCCTACCTGATGATCTTCACCACACCTGATGGTCCTCATCACACCTGATGGTCCTCACCTCTACCTGATGTTCCTTACCACACCTGATGATCCTCACCCCCACACGATAAGCCCCTGCTCTTCAGGCCACCATAAAAATAGTCTTCTTCATTTAAAACTTTTATCATTGAAAGTTTTAGTAGACACAAACACTCCACAGTTCTCAGGCATTTCTGAAAATGTTCTCTTTAGACAGGTTTATAAAATCAAGAAGGGTTTTTTGTGGTTTTATTGCAGAGCCTGGAAGCATTAACAGACAAGCAGTGTCCTAGTGCTGAAACTCTTCACTTTCAGTCTGGCTTTCTACATTATGCTGATGAGAAAGATGCATTTAAATCCAGTATTTTTTTTCCAGTTCTGTCAAGCATGGCCAGCTACCCTGTGGCTACTCTGAATCTTTGTCATTTAATAAAGTAACAAAAAGGCATCATCAGCCCCCAGCCCTAAATAAGTGGCTATTCTTGCATATCTTTCAAATAGTTTAAAGTTTTCAACATTTCTTTATTAAATGTATTCATTTTCTTTTACCTGTGAGTATTTTTGTCTACATGCATGTACGTGTACCATGAGTGTGCTTGGTGCCCATTGGAGGTCAGAAGAGGGCATCGGATTCCCTGGAATAATCATTGTGGTACTAGGAATTGAACCTGAGTCCTCTGTAAGAGCAAGTGTTCTTGACCTCTGAGCCCTCTCTCCAGGCCAAATAGTTTTACTTGTATACTTTGAGAACACTGCATGAACAGCATGCTGCCATGCACAGTAGACCCTTAAGATAACCATCTCATTATTTCGTTTGGAAGGTGGACAGTGGAGCAGGATGTGTGCTATGAACCCCAGGGACATTTCACCACAAGCTTAATGAGGTGCTTACACTATCATAGTTTATATGTTCTCCTTCACGCACATACAGGTAATCATGCACACGTGTACTGACATCAACGTGCAGGTATTGACATATGCTTACGGGTGAGGTAGGCTTGGAAGTGATACATGAATTTAAGCAAGTCTTTGAATGTTTGAATGTGGTGCACTGTGCCCTAACCCTCGAATACACCGGTGAAGGGTCAGGGAAGGGTCTTCACTGTCCTGGCAGATGCTCAGTTAAGAGTTTCTTAAATCAGTTCCACTGGAGGATTTTGATCGCACCTGGAATCCCTGGGCGCCCGGTTCACTAAGTTTTTCCCTTTTCCTAGACCCCGTTATACCTGGTAGACCACGGGGAGAGCGGACCAGTGAGGTGTAATAGGTGCAAAGCCTACATGTGCCCGTTCATGCAGTTCATCGAAGGCGGGAGGCGCTATCAGTGCGGGTTCTGCAGCTGTGTGAATGACGGTGAGTGGTGCCATCGCGCGGACTTGTCAAAGCTTTTTGTTTAAAACTACCATGTACGACACTCCTTAGCTTAGGAGTGACAGACTTTTCCTGTGGGTGGTGCTACTTGGAATGTCCCTAAACGGAAGCCATTACTAATGGAACTAGATGCCTGTTAATCTGTATGTAGGGCAGGGGCCCCACGTGGAAGTTGGGCTGTCGCCTTGCATAAAACTGTAGGGTGTCGTGGTGTAGCTGTGTCTCCTTCTACAGCGCCCCATGTGAATGCCATGTGAGATTTTACTTCTTTTAGAAGCTAAGTCTTAGAGACTTCTCTTTTGTCAGTCTTGGGGTTGTTCTTGAATAGAGGCTCATTGATGTTTAGGAAAAGCTCAGCTATCTTCAAGGGCTTTCACCTTCTGGTAGAAATGTTGAATTTTAGGGAGGGAGGAACATTTTTATGATTCTATGTATTTTTTGTTTCATCCTAGCCAGATCCACTGTTGTTGACGTCAGACAGCATGTGGAAGGGCGCAATGGAGAGAGCTCATAGATAAAGCGATTTTCACACAAGCATGAGGGTGTCCCATAAGCATGCGGGCCTGAGTCTGGTCCTCAGCACCCTTATGTAGAATAAGCAAAGCATGGTGATGCATGTTTGTACCCACTGGGGTCAGAGAGGTGGAAACAGGAGAATTGCTATGGCTCGCTGGCTGGCCAGCCTAGCCAAATGGTGGAGCTCCAAGTCCCAGAGACCCTGTCTCAAGTAACAAAGTGGACGGTTCCTGAGGAACAGCAGCTGAGGCTGACTTTTGGCCTCCCTTGTGCAGTTATGCACACACACAGAGAGAGAGAGACCAGGAGAGAAAAAGACCATATAGCTGAGCATAAATTTAGGGTGTGGCATGAATTTAGGTTGATGATAGGTGACAAATAATATTCAGTGTTAATAAGCATGTGAAATTAATTTGAAAAAATCACATATGTATAGATGTGTTAGTGTGGGTGAATTATACAGTATGCTATATAAAAACCACCATTCCACACACTATAAGCCAGATTACTCAGAAATCCTTATGGCGCGTACATTTTACCAAGTCACCCTCACGTCCCCCCTGGTGTATTTACTTCACCGAGAGAAACTGTCCTCCTCTTCTGTAGGAGTTCAAGATGTTGAGTTTGCCAAGTTCAGGGTCAGATATGTGAATATAAACTTCACAGAGCTCACTTCTAAAGGAGGTAGCCGTAATATGGTGAGAACATAGAATACTCAAACTTCCCTTAAGGTTTTTTGAAAAGTCCAACTTTAAAAAAAATAGTCCTGCTATAATTTGCATGTCCACAGCTGAACTTAAAGACTTAAAGAGTGTTGGTTTCAGCCCAAGAGGTCCTGTTTTTGTGGCTCTTACCAAGGGAGATGCTTCTCTTAGCAAAATACTTAAAACAGAAGCATCGGTGACTTTCCCACATACTGTGAACAGAAGTTTCACAGCCTTCCCTGGCCATCTCCAGGCAACAGGAGCACTTTTGCGCAGGCACACCAGGCAGGCCTTATTTGTCCAAGTGTTCAGTGTGTGAGTCATAAGTCTTGCTCTGTCTTTGGGTGACTTCCAGAACTTTGCTAGAAGTAACCTTCTGAGACATTTGAATCAAATTAGACTTCAACTGAGATGTTCCAAGTGCAGTCTTTCCCTAATACAGTATTCTTCTGCACCAGTGGGGCCAGATGCGAGCTTATTATCATGTGAAAGCCTGGGGCTGAAAACATTTCTTAATTAAGGGGTAACAAAGATTTTATTTATAGTATAATCCAAATAATCAACATTGGTCCCTGTCAGGTATATGAAAATTCAGATAAAAGTCTAAAACTTTTTTTAAAAGAGGTGATTAAGTAAAGGCAAATATTTGGATGTGTTAACTTAAAAGCAGCAGCACCTTTTTTTCTAGGATTTCCAAAATGACAAATGTTCTTTGCTATCAATAACCTTTATGTGCCCAAAAGCTATCATTCTCCTTACATGAATGTGAATATTGTGGTCTATGTTTTTCTAAATGTATAAAATATTTCACATACTGAAATGTAGCAATACATTTTAGTTAGAACCAATAATAAAGCAGTCAATACTATGAAAATTATATATAAAGTTACATAGTCCCATAGACAGTGTTCCAGGTGGAGTGATTTGACTATTAAAAAAATCAAACTTTGTATATGGTAAACTATTATAAACATAACTCAAAGGCAAAATTATAACGATTTACAACATATACAAGAGTCAAAAAGTCAGTGAGTTTAAAAAAAGGAGAAAACTCATATTTTTCACATATTTCTAAGACATGCTCTCAAAATAACAGATACTGAGAACAACTTGTCTTTCTTGTCCTCTTTTCCTTTATAATAAATTTTGAGAATGTGTTGGGTTGTCTGCTTATGAAAACAAAGGACTTTCTGCCCTGGTTTGTTTTCCTTAGTTCCTCCATTCTATTTCCAACATCTGGACCACATTGGAAGGAGAGTGGACCACTATGAGAAGCCAGAGCTGTCGCTGGGATCCTATGAATATGTTGCTACTTTGGATTACTGCAGAGTGAGTGTTGCCAGGACTTAAATGTTCCTATGCTGATGTCGAGCTCCAGTGAACAACTTCCATATGTAACGACATGACGTTCACAGACAGAGCATCTCCCAGGCCTGGAGAAATACCTCAGACACAGATCTGACTTGAGTTATTAGCTTAATGCTGTTGCTGACCTGTCCCCTGGAGTAATCAAGCTTAGAAATGTGGTGTAGAAATAGGAAACAATTCTTTCTGTGTGTGAGAGAGAGGTGAGGGGGAAGAAGGGTGAGTGTGAGAGAGAGAGACTATCCTGGTTTGTTTGTTTGTTTTGATTTGGTTTCTGAGAGGAGTCTCACTTAGTTTTAGGCCTGGACCTTGTTCTGTAGCTGAAGATGACCTGATCCCACAAATCCCAAATGCTGGGCTAAATAGTATACTGCTTCTTAATGCAATAATTCCATCCAGGTCTCTGCCTCTTTGGGTTTGTTTATGACTTCTCTACTAAGGCAGAAACGTACCCAGTATTTTTGGAGATCTGCTGGCTTCCTACTTTAGTGTGTAATTGTGAGACTCATTTGATTACCACTCATAAGCTTCTTTGGATTCTTTCTTTAAAAAAAAAAAAAAAACTAATTTACTTAGAAAGAAAAACCCAATGCTTTATTTGTTTGAAATGTTGTGGATTTTTTTAAAACTTATTTGGTGAAATATAAAACAATTTCGATACAAATGTGTTATGTCAGGCAAGAAACATGTCTTGAAGTGCAATTTACATTTCAATAGTTTCTTTGTCCTAAGAATCAACACACAAAATAAGCATTTGTTGTTCTAATTACACGTGATAAAGCCACTGTAAGTCGCGATGGAGCGTTCACTCGCTGAACTTCGAAGCTGGAGTGTGAATCCCACAGTGTGCTGAGGCTTCAGGAATCTGCCAGAAAGGCTAATTATTGACGTTACACTTTTTTTCAATAGAAACATACGCGAGGGTCAGACCTATGCCTGGGAACAAAAGTAGCTTCAAATTCTGTTCTATGGTAGTATAGTAAGTGGGAACTCTCGAAAACAAGAAGCTGAATAATTGTAACCTTTGGAGCTTCAGCTTTGTCTCCCTTTTATCTAAGTAGAGTGTATGGTAAATGCACACTGTTTTCAAGTTTAATCATAGCCTAAGCTGTAAATGAAATGGAATAATGAGTTCACTTAGGGTTTGGATGGCGGAAAGGAGTTTACTTGCTTGGTACGTATATTTTAATGCCGTATACACTGAAAAGAGAATTACAGGGTCACATTCTCCTCTGTTCGTTTTAGTTAATCCCAGGGTTGACCTGAGCACTTGGTGAACACCGGGCATGTCTCTGCTAGATACTTTTCACATACGTGTTATTTTATGTAGCCCTCATGGTGAGCCCCTGTGTTGTGTGCCACATTGTATGAGGACGGTGGGAGAGAGCTAAGCTGCAGATCATATGTACAGAAAGTTATGGCGCCACACTCAAACTGCCTGCGGGGCCAGAGCCCTACCTCCTGCTGGTATATCACCAAGTGCACAGGCACGTGTTTTAAAAAATCAGCATGGAGTTTCCCCAAAAAAAACAAATCTACGATCAGCTTGTCTTTCTGAATAAAAATGTAGGTTTGTTTTTTGTTGTTGTTGTTGTTGCTATTGTTAATTTTAATTCGTTTTGACATGTTTCTTTTTTTTATACTTTTTTATCCAGTTTGCTTTTGCACTGTAAGAATTACCCCAAACCAGCACTATGATAAACAAGTTCAAAGACTATGCCTGATAAAGAAGCATGTAGAATTAAAATATGAACCTAAGTATAGTACGTACCGTGAAGGAAGAGTGTCCAGAGTGCTGAAAGACAGTGTGGTCAGGAAGGTGCTTAGAGGGAAGTGACGTGAGCAAATTAAACAGTGAGCAGATAGCCCGTTATTGTGGCACAAGCCTTTACACCCAGCACCAGGAAGCAGAGGCAGGCGGATCTCTGTCGTTTGAGGCCAACCTGGTCAATTAGGACAGGTAGAGCTGTATAGTGAAATCTTGCCTAGAAAAAAAAAAAAAAAAAACAGAAAAATTAAAAAATAAGCCATGAGCAGAGAACTGAGGTGGAAAGAGAAACTGTAAAGTGACCAGAAGTGGGACACAGACGTACATAAAGATGATTCAGGTCCCCCCCCCCACACCGGGAGCTCTGAAAACATTGCTGATGACTGACACGAACACAAGTATTTTTTTGAGTATTTTTAAAACACTGTGTCAAATAAAACACATTTACCATCACCGCCCTGGCTCGGGTCTGAGGACCTTTGACTCTGCAAGAAATGGTAGCCATTTAAATTGAAAGAATGCATACTGGGGAATGAGAATTAAGTTGAGAAAGTATTTGGAGACAAATCTGCCCTTTCATTTCCTACTGGGGTTACCACTGTGTCTTTGAGCTTTTAGGCTTTTATACACATTGTAAAGGAAATGTTGTGGAGGGTCTGGATTGACAGGCCATGGGAGAACGTATGTTACTTTAATAGGACTGGGGATAGTTAAAGAAGGGGAGGCACACACACCACCACCACCACCACCACCACCATTCACTCTTAAGGCATGAATGTTTAGAACTGTACTCTCCTCTTTATTCTGGTTGGTTTTGTTATGAAGTCTATTTTGTCACATGTTGAAATAGCTACACTTGTTAGCTTCCTAGATCTATTTTCTTGGAATATCTTTTTGCATCCTTTTATCCTGAGGTGATATCTTCCTTGTTGGTAAAGTACATTTGTTGGATGCAGCAAAAGTAATTTTTAAAAAATCCCATCTGCTAGTCTATATCATATTACTGGGTTTCTTCTCCTTCCTCTACCTATTAGTTTTGGATTTGATGCTTTCATAGTGTCCCAGTTTTCCTGGATGTTTTCTACCTGTATTATTATTATTATTATTATTATTATTATTATTATTATTATTATTTACACTTTATTCATTTTGTATCCCCCCATAAGCCCCTCCCTCCTCCCCTCCCGATCCCATCCTACCTCCCCTTTCTTCATGTATGCTCCTCCCCACATCCACTGATAGGGGAGGTCCTCCTCTCCTTCCTTCTGATCTTAGTCTATCAGATCATATCAGGAATGGCTGCATTGTCTTCTTCTGTGGCCTGGTAAGGCTGCTCCCCCCTCAAGGGGAGGTGATCAACGAGCAGGCCAATTAGTTTATGTCAGAGGCAGTCCCTCTTCCCATCACTATGTAAGCCACTTGGACACTAAACTGCCATGGGCTACATCTGTGCAGGGGTTCTTGGTTATCTCCATGAATAGTCCTTGGTTGGAGTATGAGTCTTTGGGAAGTTCCCTGTGTTCAAATTTTCTTGTTCTGTTGCTCTCCTTGTGGAGACCCTGTCCTCTCCAGCTTTTGCTATTTCCCACTTCTTACATAAAATTCCATTCACTCTGTCCGCCAGTTGGCCATCAGGCTCAGCATCTGTTTTGATAGTCTGCAGGGCAGAGGTTTTCAGATGCCCTCTGTGGCAGGTTCCTAGGTTGTTTCCTGTTTTCTTCTTCTGGCTTTCAGAGGCCCTCTGTAGCAGGTTCCTAGGTTGTTTCCTGTTTTCTTCTTCTTCTGATGTCCATCCTCTTTGCCTTTCAGGATGGGGATTGAGCGTATTAGTTAGGGTCCTCTCTTTTGCTTAGTTTGTTTAGATGCACAGATTTTAGTGGGTTTATCCTATGTTGTATGTTTATATGAGTGAGTATATACCGTGTGTGTCTTTTTGCTTCTGGGACAACTCACTCAGGATGATCCTTTCCAGGTCCCACCATTTACCTGCAAATTTCATGATTTCCTTATTTTTCATTGCTGAGTAATACTCCATTGTATACATGTACCACAATTTCTGCATCCATTCTTCAGTTGAGGAGCATCTGGGCTGTTTCCAGCTTCTGGCTATTACAAATAAAGCAGCTACAAATATGGTTGAGCAAATGTCCTTTTTGTGTACTTGAGCCTCTTTTGGATATATGCCTAGGAGTGATATGGCTGGATCTTGAGGAAGCGCTATTCCTAGTTGTCTGAGAAAGCGCCAGATTGATTTCCAGAGTGGTTGTACAAGTTTACATTCCCACCAGCAGTGGAGGAGGGGTCCCCTTTCTCCACAGCCTCTCCAGCATGTGTTGTCACTTGAATTTTTCATCTTGGCCATTCTGATGGGTGTAAGGTGAAATCTTAGGGTTGATTCCTTTGCCTGAAGTATTCATTTCTTTCACCTTGTCCTCAACACCTGAGATTCTTTCTTCCACTTCTTGTACTCTGTTGGTGAGGCTTACCTCTGGGGTCCTTGCTTGACTTTCTAAATGCTTCATTTCCAGTATTATCTCAATTTGGGTTTTCTCCAGCGTAGTGGTTCTCAACCTTCCTAATACTGCAACCCCTTAATACAGTTCTGCCATTTTGTAACTGCCATTTTGAAGTCCCTCTCATATGCCTCAGCTGAACTGCTTTTGTCAAGGCCTATTGTAGTAGAGTTGCTGGCCTCCAGAGGAGGTGTATTGTCTTGGTTGTTCATGTTTGTGTTTTTGTGCTGGGATCCAGGCATCTGGAATTATGATGTGTGAGTTGTTTCTTGCCGTAGATATTGGGTCTTAATTTTGCTGGGTGGATGTTCAGTTCATTGGTTGCTATTGCCCACTCTGGATTCTAGGCAGGTGTGGTGGCTGTGGGCTTCCTGGTAGAGAATGTTTCTGCTGCTCAGTGTGTGACACGGAGGAATGAAGATGTTCTAGAAGGAGAGGCAGAGACAGGGAGCAGGAAAAGAGCTAGGGGACCCTGGAGCTGCACTAAGAGGAAGAATTTTCAGGCAGTGGAGGTTGGGTAGAAGGAAGGATTCCTGTAGGCAAGCTGCAGCAAGGCTCAGAGTAAGTCCAAAGGACCAGAATGAAAGACAGGAAGGATAGCAGAAATTGCTTGCCTGTGCCTCAGCCTGGTGTGTGGGTCTTAGGTGGAGAGTGTTTCTCAGGCTGATGGTTGACACAAAGGAATGGAGACTGCTGGAAGGCAAGGTTTAGAGGGTCTGTGGAAAAGATCTAGGGGGCCCTGGGTTCACACCAAGTGGCCAGTAGAAACATGTTTTCTGAAGAGAAACAAATGGCTGAGGAAAATAGAGCAGTCAAATCCAGTTTCAGGTTTGAAGCCTTTGCATTGTCTGTAGTGCTGTCACTGGTAGAAACCGGAAGGCAATGTGGTTTGGAGGAACTATGGATTAACTTCACCCATGTTGAAAACAAGTCTTCATGAGTGAACAGTTCCTGAAGAGACAAGATAGCTGGAGTTATAGAAGGGGTCAGTGAAGAGTGACTTACAGTGAGTGAATGAGAGAGTAGAAGAATAGTAAGACACAGTTGGGATTTTCACAAAGAGGTGCTGCTTTAATTAATGAGCACGGGTGGCATTTTCATCTGATAACCCTCTATATTATGGGATAGAGGAGGTGAGACATGGAAACAAATATTCATGTGGACACCAGCAGTGCTCCCTCATACCGTGGCTGTTCTCGATTCTGGATTAGAAGAGTGACATAAGCTCTTATTTGAAACTGAGTGTTTTATTAGAAGAGTATTATGTCTAACCTTGTAGTAGATATGGGCTGAATCAATGAGATCATTTATAATGTTATCATTTAATTATATAATAATTGAACTGTATTTTAATTTTATAACATTTTTATGCTTTATCATAAGATGAAAAACTGTTTGTCTTGAGTCTTTATTCTCTAGTGGAGGTCACTGATGATATTTGCCTGTGGCTTTCTTTTCTAAACATTTTATAAATCCCAGTTGAAGGATCGCTTCCTTGTGAGCTATTTGGACACCAGCCAGATTGGGGAACAGTGAGAGCCATTTTCATAACAGCTGCTTTATGTTACATTGACTGTTGTAAAGACATAGAAAAGGGGCCATTTTTCTCTGCCACAAATATGAAGTGAGTTTTGAAAATATTTTATAATGTACATTTTTAAGGAATGCCATTAAATCTTCATAGACATTTTCATATCTGTCGTTGAGCATGGTAGTGTATTCCTGTAATCTCAACAGTGAGGAGGCTTTAGGCAAGAGGATTGACAATGTGTTTGAGGCTAGCCTGGGCTACCCAGTAAGACCTTGCCTCAAAAAGAAAACACACACACACACACACACACACACACACACACACACACACACACACACACATACAAGCAGAGGAACTCATAAGAGGCCTGAAAAAATTGTGGTATCCCAGTTGATGAAGCTTTGTAATAGTTTCAAAAAATGTTTATTTTTTACTTATGCTCCTTTTTAGCATTTCTTCTCAGGACCGCAAGCACATTTCCTCCTGTAAGGGTGCTTGTTACATCGAGGCTGGCTCAGTCCTTGACCTCCAGTCATGGTAGGGGAGTCTCTGGAGATACAAAATCTCTGCTTACTGTAATAAAAAAGTTCATGTCATAACTTGGAAAATAAGCAGCTTCATTTTTTTATAACATCAGGGAACTGAGTTTCCGGGAAGGTTATTTGATCCACAGAGGTTATAGTTCAAGTATTGAATGAAGCATCTGAAAGTCCTCAAGAGTTTGTTTGCATTTGATTATGGAATATACTTACTGTGCATGTGCTTCTGTGATGTGTTTGCTTTCCTGCAGAAGAATAAACCTCCCAGCCCACCAGCCTTTATCTTCATGATTGATGTTTCATACAGTAACATAAAGAGTGGACTCGTCAAGCTCATATGTGAGGAACTGAAGACCGTGCTGCAGAGACTACCCAAGTAAGGGCGCAGATGCTGTCCTTCTAGGAATTGTACTGCCACTGAGTTGGTGCAGATAGGCTGGTTAATATCGCTTGCTAATGAGAACATTGGGGTTAGTTATAAATCAAACTACACCATTCTTCTGAATACTTAAAATGTCAGAGTGGATGTTTGTATAAAGGAAAGAAAATACAGAGAGAAAAGCGATGCTACAGATACATGAAACATCTCAAAAGGCTTTGTAAGTTACAGGAGAATCCCCACGGTGAGTATGTGGAAAACACTTTGGAAGGCTGCTCCACAAAAGCTGGTGGTTGCTGATAGCGGCAGAGTCCAAAGGCTCCCAGGAAACTGAGCAGTTGTTACATGGAGGGATGGAATGTTTTTAGCCAAATTCCCTTCTGCCCTTGTGATGTGACCAAGCTCCCTGCTGCCTCTCTTGTGTTCTGGCTTAGCTGTGTGAGGTGAGCCTGGCTCTGTTACTGCAGCAGGCAGCACTTGGGAGGAGAGGCAGGAGATCTTCACACACCTGCCAGCTAAGCAGGTGAATCTACCCTGCTGTGATGAGTTCGCCTCTGCATGCTGCTTTTAAAGGGCTAGCTGGCATGCCATCTGCTTTAGCACAAAAGAAGGAAATAAAATCAGTGAAGATTGTAGCCATAAAATATAATTGTATATATGCATAGCCTGCATTAAATTTGGCAGAAAAAGAAACAATTAACAAGGCTTACTGTGCAAGGTGTGACAGGGGCGCATTGGAAGATGCTTTTTTTTTTTTTTTTTCTAAATAAAACCCTTAAAGAGAGATTTGAAAAAGTTGCAGGAAGTAGCTCATACCATCCTTTCATTTTTCTCTAACATCACGGCTAGGTTGTAGTTGTCTCTGTGCACAAGCTAGCTCTTTGAGGCTGAAAAGCTAATCCCAGCATGGAGACAGGGGAGTAAGGGATGTGAGCTTCCTGCCCAGAAGCCATGCATAGAGGGCAGGGATGCGGGGCCATGCTGTATCCCCAAACCTTCCACTGCCTCTCTGTCTTGTCAAGCTCATGGCGAGCAACATCTGTTCTAGACAGGGGTGTTTGGGTAGGGAGGGTGCTACTGGTGCTTCTGGGCCTTTGAATGCAAACACACTTGTAGTCTTTCCACTAAAACTGATGGCTCTGTCTATGGGAAACGTGGACAAGTGGGCTCTGGACCTCCCAGGAGCAGCTCTGTTTGTATCTGTTAAGCTGAACTCATAATATTGTTGAGATGGTTTGGAAAGCAGCAAGGATGTTTGAAAGACCCTGAGGTGGCTTCGGACTGGCCTGAGGTGAAATGTGAACTGGAGGCAGCTGCAGGTGGCAAAAGCCCCAGTGCCATGAGACAACTCTCTTACACATCATTTTCAGACACTTGAGACGGAATTTTTTTCTAGATGGTATGTGTTTCGTCGTGGAACTCTCCCATGGGAGGTTTAAGGTTTAAATCTGAATTTTGTATTTAGTTTGTAAGAAAGAGAACCATGACTCCAGTTCATAAAAATGGACTGTCCTTTCACTGTCTGTCGCTGAGTCAGGCTAACCTGCCCTCACTAGCAGTCACCCCACAAACCGCTTGTTCCTTACCAGGGGTAGTGACAGGACATTTGCAGCATGTTGATCTAAGATCTGAAGTCACGCATTCTGGCTGTATTCAAATCTCTCAGAACGACAGCTTTTCAAGCCAAGTGTCTTCATTTTTTTTTTTTTTTTTTTTTTTAATAAACCTGTTTGCTTTCTGTTTGAAATTTCTTTTGGTCTCTGTAAACATGTAGCTTTATTTTATTATTATAACACTGCCCCATCGATTTGAATTCTCTTTTTGTCCTAAAGCAGGTGGCATGTTTTTTTCACATGGCCTCTGTAAAGCAGTCTGCATGTGCTTCTTGTTCTAGAATGTTCGAGTCTTCTGAAAACAGAAGCCACTTTCTTTTCTGTTTAAATTTATATCTGGACTTGTAAAGTTTCTAGATCTTCTGACTTCTTTGAAACAATGAAAGAAAACTTTAAAATCATCTGTTACTCATATTAAATCATTGGGTTATTTTGACTTTTGGTCTGTTTTCAATGCTGAGGAACTAAAATACTGTAAATGGGGCTGGTACGATGGCTCGCAGCTGGTAAGCCCTTGCCTTCATTTTATTTTATTTCAAGCACAAGAGCCCAAGTTTAATTTCCAGAATCTATGTAAGAATGCCAGGCCCTTTAACTGGCTGCTGATATAGCATAATTGGTGAGCTCCTGGCCAATGAGAGACTTTGTCTCAAAGGAAGTAGATGGTGTCCTGATGACACCCAGTCTTGTCTGCTGGCCTTCACCCATACCTACACACATAAATATACACAAGTAGTGCGGAAGAATACAGCTGTTTAGAGATGTTAGCAATTCACGGCTTTGGAATTTTGTGGTTTATCTGCTTATTAATGTTTGTAGTATTACTCAGCCATATTCGTACTGTTAAACAGTCTGGCTGCAGCTGGTAGGAGTTGTTGGGACAAATTAAGTAATGATGATGAGGCACACAACAAATTTTACATGAAAGAGGTTTATTAGATGGAGATGAAGAGAAAAGGAGAGAGGGAGACATGATGGGGGGCAAGAGAGAAGAGAAAGGGGAGAGGGCGAGAAGGCAAGAGAGGCCAAGAGAGAGCAAGAGAGAGATCATGTGGTGGGTTGGTCCCTTTAAGGAGCAAATGATGACATCATAAGTTGCTAGGCAACCCACAAGCAGGTGCCTAAATACTAACAGGAGTGACGCTGAAAAGCAGAAGAGTAAGGCCAGTTAATCACAGATATTTTCGTGTACCCATAGACTTGTACAGAATCATTTGTGCTCCTCACAGAATTACGCAGAACTATTGAGGAAAGGCAGACTCTTTCTTCTTCATGTGCTATAATTCATATGTTTATATAATGTTGAGGGAAATTTGGGACAGTTATAACATTGAAGACGTTTTTCGAGAGTCTTGTGTTTGTTTCGTAAAAAGCATTTTTTATGATGATAAGTGATAAATGATGGGGATGTTCTGATTAGATGCTTTTTAAAAATGTTAATTTAGATCTATGTCAGTGATCCCTCTGATCTCAAGATGCTGTGCTCTGCCGCCATTATTGAGTTCCCCTAGGGCACTGGGACACATAGCTGCATCCTCAGACCTACAAAAGCCAGAGAGCCATTACAGCAGCCCTCAGATACTGTGCCAAGGATCAACCAGTTATCCCTAGCTAGACTGTCAAAACTGTGGGAATCCCTGGTCCTTCAAGAGGGCTGCACCCACAGCGTCTGGACCAGAGCAGTGCCTGCAGCCACCATCCCAGACAGGGACACACAGCTTCTGGTCCAGAGTGAGGCACCCAGCCTCCAGACCATAGCAGCGCCCCCAGGCGCCAACTCAACCTAGGTGCACATTCTATAGGTCCAGAGCAGAGCAATCAGCCTCTGGCCCAGAGACTTGCTGAGTGCACCTCTCACTTTCCCGGACAGAACTGTGCGCCCCAGGATAACAGACTGAGTTTCCCTGTTGGAAGAAAACCCCACAGCTAGGGAATCAGGCGCCTGCATGGAGCCCTGCCTGCCTGCGCGCCTGATTCGCCGCCTCAGATAGAACTGTGGGCACCAGGGCATCAGGCACCAGAGACTGCCTTCATTCTTTTATACTTTTGGGAACATTAACACCTTCTTTGGAATTCCTAAGAGAAAAGACCTGGAGACCTCATTTTCTTGTCATGATCATCACAAGCAAACTTAAGTGTAAATGTACTTGCTATTATATGTTTCCATGATGTGCTGTTAAAATCTTACTATCGTCACACAAAATTTTGTAGGAGGTGCAGTAAAAGTGTCATGCAGGAGCCAAAGGTCCTTTCCTGATACAAACTATCCTGTCACAGTAGTGTGTTTCCCTTCTCTCCCTTTATTTCAGATGCCTCATTGGTTCTGGCCTTTCAGTGACTTCTGAGAGCATTTTATTTATATGAATGCAATAAACCCAGGTTGTTCATGGAAATTCTAAAAATGTCTAATTTCCTATGAATTGAAAATAAGCTGGGCATAGTGGCACATGTCTTTAATCCCAGCACTTGGGAGGCAGAGCAGGTGGATCTCTTGAGTTCAGGGCTAGCCTGGTCTACATAGTGAGTTCCAGGACAGCCAGAGCTACAGAGTGAAACCCCATCTTGAAAAGATCAAAAATAAATAAAGACAAGAAAAGAAAATACATAAGCAAATATGAGCAAATGTTTTCATAATATCTAATCCTTGACCTAGAATTTTGAGAATGTTTTCCCTTGTCAACCTGCTTATTTTTGAAGCAATCTGTATCCCTTCCTGCCACAATTCACTATTGCTTTCTAAGATCAAGAGAAATTAAAGCCAGGACTTTAAATATGCCTTTCATATGTTCTATAGGAGACATAGATGTTGAATTTAGGGAGAAGCCTCATTTCGCAGGCAGAAAATGGAAGAAGGCAAAACACTCTTTAAATCCTGACTCTATGGCAATCTCATCACCTTCAAGCAAGTTCTGTGTTCTTGAGAGCCCCTACCTAAAGTCAAGTTTTGTTGGTTTTTTTTTTTTTTTTTCTCTTAGGGAGGAGCATGAGGAGACATCTGCAATTCGAGTTGGTTTCATCACATACAACAAAGTTCTCCACTTCTTTAATGTGAAGAGTAATTTGGCCCAACCTCAGATGATGGTGGTGACCGATGTTGGAGAGGTCTTTGTTCCTTTGTTGGATGGGTTCCTTGTCAACTATGAAGAATCTCAATCTGTGATCCACAAGTAAATGTCACATGTCTTCTAATTAAATGCAATGGGATGTGTGTTTTAAGACGCATTGTGTTTCAGTTCAACTACAAATATTGTTTGGCTTTGTCACTGGAAGAGGTTTTTAGGGCTTAGATTATACAAGTATTGTTATTTTTGTTAGCTTTACCTCTTGCTGGTGTAGACCATTTTAGAAATATTCACTCTCAACCCTTTGAATTCTTGCTCCTTGATGGAATGGGACTGAAATGGATGTAATTCTTGTGTGTGTACATATTAAGAGAGAGTATTCTTTAAAGAGCTCTGGGTAGTATAAATAGGTAATATAATGAATCAAAAAAGAATCTACAAAGAGGGTAATTTAGTAAATGTTCCATTCAAAGAGTATAAGTTTGGGTGCTAGCCCGCGCTAAAATATCCTTTCCTAAGGAATGTCTTTAATCAGTTACCCAGAGATGCTGTTCCCCAAGTAAATGCCGTATGTGTTCAAGCTTGAAACATCCCTGATATATTTTCTGAAGTTTATGACAGACTTGCTGAGTAGTCAAACCCTTTCCCCATTTTGTTTTTCTCAGTTTATTGGACCAGATTCCAGAAATGTTTGCTGACTCCAATGAAAGCGAGACAGTCTTTGCTCCTGTCATCCAGGCTGGCATGGAAGCACTTAAGGTGAGGCATGGCCACCTCTATTTGAGAGTAGATTTCATGTATGAAAGAAGTTTCATGTATGCAAATACATTTTGCCTGAAAGCCCTATGTTATTAGGCTTCCTAAGCTTGCCCAGTTGTCAGGAGGAAGTGACCGGAGCACTCCAGGTGTTTATATCTCAGGGATGTTAGCATCACAACAGCTGGTGTTGTCAGGATTTCAGCTTATGTCCTCTCTTTGGCTTTTAGATGAACTTCTTACCGGTCTGTTTTTAAATTTAGTTCAGTCGAATCGGAACTGTAGGATATGAGGAGAAAAATTCCCATACTGTCCTCTTCTTCCTTGGGGTTTCCAAACACGCAAGGGCAAGGTCTGGGGACAGTTTGTGTCAAAGGGTGACTGATGCTCATGGCCTCACTGACTGTCATAAGTAGAGGAGAGGTCATCCTTGTGTCCTTGGGGAGGTTGAGCTCAAATGACATTGTGCCTTCATAGGACTGAAGAAGTCAGTGTGATCTAGAAGCCCTTATTCCCAGTCACTCTTTCGTTAGCACAGTAGTCAAATCTTGTTGGCCTTGACCACTCATTCCTGAAGTTAGTTACAAAATTGTGTCATTAAAATTAATTCCATACCAACTTTTAAAATACAGTGACTGACAGGAAGATACAAGCAAGGAGGGAGAGCAGTGCTATGAGGCTGAGCTTATGAACTGACCCCAAATGAATGTTCCATCTAACTCTGTAGTCTGACCCTGGTACCTCATTCTTGTCTAGGTTTCCTGATTTCTGGGTGTTCAGGTGTGGTACCAGGGGTGTTTGCTCATGGTCTTATGGATGTTCTTCAGCTATCAGAATAACTAATGTAAAACTGACAATACATTTTACATTACAAGTGATTTGTGGGTATTGGAACCCATCTTACTGAAGCTGTCATTGGTCAACAGAAAGCCTTGGGAACTGTGATATTCTATATCATACATATACACACACATACACACACATACAAACAGACACACAGACACACACATGCATACACACACACAAAGCAAACCTATCTGGGTTTTTTTTTCACTTTGAAAAATGTTTGTTTTGTTGTCAATGATGTTCTCTCCTCCAGTGAGGAGAAGTTCGTAAGTGAATTTCTTCATACATCATAATTCATAAAGGACCCTAAACACCATTCTGCCTTAAATTAAATCTGGAAGCAATATTTTGTGTATGTGCTCATATCTGAGAGGTGTGATGAGTGAGGGATGACAGGCTGTTAGTTGCCTAAAATTTAATGTCAATTCTGAAAAAACATTTTCCACAGCAATAATAATATACTCCGAAGTTGCTTGTGCATTGCGTAGTGTAGCCTAAAGCATTCTCTGCTCTCCATTCATGACAGTCTGGTTCACTGTAGTTCATGTGTCTTTATATCACTTGCATTACCTTTTTTAGTCACAAGTTACAAAAGTTATGTATATTAATATTATATTAATACATGAAGTATATGAAAACTGTCTTAGCCAGTGTTATTATTGCTGTGATGAAATACCATGAAGAAAGCAGCTTGGGGAGGAAAGGGTTTATTTGGCTTACACTTCCATAGCACTGTCCATCATCAAGAGAAGTCAGCGTAGGAACTGAAACAGGGCAGGAGCCTGGTGGTGGGAGCTGATGCAGAGGCCAGGAAGGGTGCTGCTTACTGGCTTGGTCATCATGGCTTGCTCAGTCTGCTTTCTTATAGAACCTAGGACCACCAGCCCAGGAGTGACCAATCCACAATGGACTGGACCTTCTCCCATCCATCACTTACTAAGAAAATATTTTACAGCCAGGTCTCATAGAGGCATCTTCTTAACTGAGGTTCCCTCCACTCAGATAACTCTAGCTCGTATCAAGCTGACATAAAACTAGCCAGTACAAAAACATTAGAATGAGGAAAAAACTAGTATCTAAACATAGCAGTTTAGATGACCTCATGAATCCAAATTCAGGTCCTGAGTAGCTGATAATCAGACTTAACTTGGTGTAATTTACATAAAATTCTCATCTGTGGCTTTTCTGATGTGCCATGTCCACAGCATTTTCTAATCTCAACCTTTTTTCCCTTCTTATGTGGTAGAATCTTTATTTCCTTCAGACTCTGACATGTGCATTAATTAATTACCTTTGAATTGCTGACAAAATTGTCTAAGTTGAATAACTTGGTAAGTAAAATTCCAGATAAGAATTGTACAAAAGGCGTGCTGGAGAGATAGTTCAGTGATTAAGAGCACTTGCTGCTCTGGCAGAGGACCCACGTTCAGTTCCCAGAACCCACATGATGGGTCACAACTTCCAGTAACTCCAGGGGATTCTATGCCCTCTCCTGGCCTCTGTGCATTTTGCATGTATATGATGTACTTACAAACATGTAGGCAAAACACTCAAACACATAAAAAAAAAAAAAAAAGTAAATCTTAAAAAAAAAATGTTGGGCAAAAAGTTGTACATACCTGGGCATCAATGGTTATACATGAAATATATTACTACCTGAGCAAAGGGGTTAAATTTACCTTTAGATAATTCATAATTGGTACCAAAATTCAACTTTCAGGATCCACCATGACACTCCATTCACAGGCAAGATGGGACAGTTAATGAGGGAAAGACAGAGGCTTGGGGTGAGGTGGAAAAGTGAAAGGATCTTTTCCTCAGGTAGCTTTTCATTTTCAGCAGTCTGAAGCTTGCAAGAGTGTTGAGAGACAGTGTCATGAATCCTAAAAGATCTGTCTGTAGAGCGGGGAGACAGCAGTGGAGGCAGCTAGTTGGCCAACTGCAGTAATGCCAGTCTCTCAGAAGAAAGAATATTATATAAAAGGTGAATTTTGAACAGCGTTCTTGAGGCCAGACCCTTGTAAGCTATTTCTACTGAAATCAGAAGGATACATGCCATTCTTGAATGACTGAGTCTTGTGAGCACAATCAAATTTTGGCAAAAACATTAAATTTTGTATGGGTGTGAACCATTTGCCAGACATAAAGTGCTTTTTAAGTCTATAATTAGTGAAATTAGGGCTTTAAAATGAAGTGATTGAATAACAAGAAATATATATATCCTATATATGTCTCTACATATGTGTGTGTGTTGTATTCTTGTAAGTTTTTCTGCATATGTATGTATGCATGGTATATGTATATGAATGTGAGCATGTTTGTATGGGTGTGTGTGTGTGTGTGTGTGTGTGTGTGTGTGTGTGTGTAGCCATGAAGTTGACATCAGGTGTCCTCCCAAGTTGCTCTTTTTTCCCACTTGAGGTAGGGTCTGTCCTGAACTAGAACCTTGCCAATTCTGGCTAGTCTTCTCTGTTTCAGCCAGTTGAGTGCTGGGATTATAGGCATCAAGTGTGCCTACAATTGTTTTATGTGGGACCTGGACTCAGGTCCTCACATTTGAATGTCAAACACTTTATCTTCTGAGCCATCTCCCTAGCGCCAGCCACTTTATATTTTTATAATCGTGCATTTTTTAATGGCCACCAAGTAGGGCCTGGTAGTTCATTTGACCAGACAATTAAATATGTTTATGTTGATTAACAGAACCATTAAGGTCTTTCAACTCTTGCTTTCTGTTGTTACTATGTATCATGTATGGTATGAATGAAGCTTGGAGAAGCTAGGTGATTTTCCTGAAGTCCCTAAGCTAATACAATGGCTAAGATTCTAACCATAGCCTTAGGAATGAGGACCTGTGATCTTAACACCGACAGTACAAAATATTAGCACTTCTATGCTTAGACAACATCCACATGGAATTTTGGTAGTGAATTCTTTAGAAGAAATCATGTGGCTCAGACAAGAAACATTTTACTTTATATTTTTGAGAACTTAATGTGTGGTTGTGAGGAGTATTTTTAGTTTGATCCAGTTAACACAGGAAGTCTCCATATGATGTGATTTTCACTTTCCTTCTTACAGTAAAAGACCGGGTGCTGTCTTGAAAGCAGAAGACAGAAGGGGAGGATCATTTAAATTTGAGGGAAAATATGGTGATGACAGTTCAGATACAAATACAGGCTGTCGCTTTCCTGGTGACTTTAGTGCTGAACAACATTTAAAACCTACTGAAAAGTAGTAGGCAGTTTGCAAATGCTGTACTGACTTCTGCTCACTATAGGTTGTGCTGGGTTGGGTGGGTTTACCCTGGATTCCTTCTTCAGTTTCTTTGCCTTCTCCAATATCTACTCTGCTACTGTTAGCATTTCATACGCACTTTTTGTGTGGCTTTTTGTGTGTACGTTAAACACAGGAGCCAAAAGTGAGGGAAACGTGTTGTCTTTCTGAGCCTGGCTTATCTAAGGCAATGTGATGAGCTCCACTTCCATCCATTGCCTCGCAAATGGTTTCACTCTGCTTTATGGCTGAATGAAATCCCACCGAATAGATGCCCTACGTGTCCTTTGTCGCCTATTGAGGACCGACTAGACCGACCCTATTGCTTATTGCTGTGGACAGCGCTGTAGTCATCATGGGCTTGCAGGTGTGGCTGTAGGGTGTGGACTTACACGACTTTGTGTATGTGTATCCAGAAGCACTGAGTCTTTGTCGTCAGGTGAGACGATGTCACGTTAAAGAAAAGAAACTCACTCATCCTTGGTATCATTTACCCAAGGGTGAGCCTGGTTGGATCTGAAGAGTTCTGAACTGATCAAGTCTTGAACAAAGGCCATTCTCTTTGTGTTGAACACCACAGCGAATATGGTAGTAAGAAGGGGTGAGGAACTTATGCCTTAATCAGTCCTCGGTAGGAGTCTCACAAGAGAGGATGTTGCTTTTTAGCCCTACTGACCCAGCAGAGCACACAGAGCCCCAGTCATATGTCATGACCTATACTCACAGGTTTGTTTGTTTGTTTGTTTTACCTCTCTTTCGTTGATTTCAGTGTCTCTCTGCTAAGACCAGTGAATGGTATTAGGCGAGACTACTGCATCTTAGCCACACGCATACGCTATCCCAAGCCAGTGGGTCACAAAGGAGAAACAGACAACATGTTATATCAGGGAGTCCATAGTAAGACTGGTTATTTCATCAGAGGACAGTTGATGCTGAACAGGCTGGGTACACAGTATGTAAGCAGAATGAGTTTCGTGATCTCCGGGCACATTATTAACTCCGTTACAGGTCAGGGGGAAGTTTGATTTGTAAAGGTTTCTAAGAAAACTCACTCCCACAATATGGCAGTTCTTCTTCCGCTATTGGGGGAATCTCCACAGTGTTTTTCCACACTAACTCAGCTGATTTGCATTCATTCTAGCAACATACAAGAGGTCCCTTGTGTCCTCATCCTCAACAGCATTTTGTTCTTTGTTACCTTTCTGACTGGGTTGAGGTGCGATTTTCATATATTTATGATTCTCTTAAAATAAAATCTTAACACCCGAACGTTGTGTGATGTTTTCAGGCGGCAGAGTGCCCTGGGAAGCTATTCATCTTCCATTCCTCCTTGCCTACTGCGGAAGCACCGGGGAAGCTCAAGAACAGAGATGACAAAAAGCTGGTTAACACAGACAAAGAGAAGGTACAGTGAAGAAGCACTGTTGAAAGGGGCCCCACACTTCTGAGTGTTTTGAACTCTAAACCATTTAAGGAATTTCCTGTTGCCAAGGGGGCTAATATCTGACTTATCTAAACTGAAACATCTTCCATGTATAATCTGTGTAAGATGAGGCTGTTAGAGAAATGGAGGGGGGGGGGCACCACGAAGAGAAGGTGGAGAGGGGAGACGGACACACTCTGACATCACTGTCCTGAGGAAGAGACACTAGTCATGAAGCAAAGGCAGCAGATACTGAAAGGAAGCCTTTGCTGAAACCGGAGACAATATGGCAGCCAGGAACAGTCAGGGGATGGAAGATAGATGTGAGTGAGAGCGCAAACCCCTCATTCACACAGCACCTTCCATTCCGCAGAGCTGCATCGCTGCCTGTATGCTGAGGATCGGGGCAGGGACAGCTCCATTAAGGGTATTGGCATATCAGATAACCTGAAGGCAACCAACTCTTTTATTTCATTAGCCCACTCCACCTAACTGGAGGGGAAAATAAAAGTCCCATAGTTTACCTCATTTAAAATTTCCAGTTAAAAAGTTTTAATAGAAACTTAAATTTTAATAAAAAAAAATTACATGGCTTTTTTTAAAAAAAATTGTCTTTCATCCTTTTCTTCAGATACTTTTCCAACCCCAAACAGCTGTCTACGAATCTCTGGCCAAGGACTGTGTGGCCAATAGCTGCTCGGTGACTCTCTTCCTCTTTCCCAGTCAGTATGTGGACGTGGCTTCCTTGGGTCTGGTTCCGCTGCTCACTGGAGGAACTCTTTACAAATACAACGCTTTTCAGGTAAGTGGCAAGCCGGTGCTCTTCTGAGTCTCTTGCTGTTTGAAAGCTGAGTCTGTCTCTATCTTTCTCTGGTGCTCTGTATCTCATCCCTGCAAACACCATCCTACTCCCCCACCCCCCATCTGTGTGTGTGTGTGTGTGTGTGTGTGTGTGTGTGTGTGTGTGTGTGTG